ATCATATCGATTTCAAAGTTTTGCGTTGCAATTTTGCTACAATAAGAAAAATCACGCACCATATTCAAAAATATGGCGAAGTATTATCATTAGATATTTTCAATTTTTCAAATTTTCTATACCAAAAAGATGTTTATTCTTGTCAAAAAATTAGTTCAATATTAAGCAAGCTAATCAAAGCAAGATAAATATATACAACATTAAACAATCATGGATGGTTTCAGCCAGATACGTAAAAAAGGCCAGCTACATCCATTTGATTATATTTTGCTTGAACGAAGACGTTTCAAAAGCTAAATGACAATAAATGAAATAACTTCGAGGTGAGACCTTTCAAACAGTATTTCAATTAATAAAATACAGACTGACTATGCCACTGTGATACAAAGTAGTTTATTTAATACTAATCAGCTCAATTACCGGTTCTTTAATGTTTTTTCAAATTTTTACGATTCAGTAAAAGTAGATTTCTATTTGACAAATAGAAGTTTAATTTATTTTATAATTACTCAGATATATCTCAAAGTTTTTTAATACAAAAAAAGTCTTTATAAGCCATTAGCAAAAGTATAACATAAATAGAGATTTGAATTGTTTTTATTTGATCAAATAAGAACGATTCAAATCGCTGTTTATGTTATACTTTTCCTAATGAAAACTCTACCGATTTTAAAATAAAAATCTTTATAAGTTAGTTTAGTGACAAAAAAAAGGTTTTCTCATTTCAATAAATTGCGGTCAGTTCTCGATGACTTGACAATATCTTTGATGTGATTAGAGCGTCAGTTTCAAAGAGAATCTTAAACAAAGATTACAACAAAGCATTTAACAAACATGAATATTATCAATAATAAAATGTAACAACATTTAAATGAGTGCAGATCGTATACAGATCTAAAATTACTGAACTATGTTTATATTCAGAGAAAAATATATTACATTTCCTCTTTAAAATCAGGTCGTTTCAGTGAATATTGTTCAATTCATCATCACCTAAGTGATGATTGGAAAAGGATATGACGAACTTGATAAAAAATATTCCTTTTAGCTATGTAAGTCAAATATATCAGAACCACCTGGTTTCATCTATTAATATAATGCCAATCTATTACTAATAATCAGTTATCATTAGCAACAATATAAAAATCGAAAGAAAAAACACATCACTTTTTAATCTCAATATAAGAACAACCAACAACCATAATTTGATAAAAAAACGAATAAAAATAATTAGAACAACAACTGAACTATCACCGTTTTGTCTATACACCCAAAGATAGAAGTTTTTTTCTCTTTATATTCACAGACAAAATAACAAAACAACAAAAGTTAACTTAGTGGTGATGATAGTAATTTATTTGACTCAAAGTTTTTTGGCTTTATCTTTGGCAATAATTGTATCATATCGTGTTTTACTCATAAACCATAATGCAAACGGAAATGCAATACACGGAATAGCCATCATTGTAAATAATATCCAATCAAGCTGAAAAGCAACAAATATTGGATAATATATCTCGAAAGGAGGTATTGTAAAGCGGTTTCTCTTTTTAAAGTGTTACTTACAAAGTGTGATGAAAATTTTCGATCATAATCACGAGTTGAAACAATAGTTAATTCACCAATTTCAGATGAATATGTTGTCTAAAAAAAAGCAAGAGTGTAACGTAGTAACAATAAGCAATAGAAGTAAATAAGCTTCACTTTCCACAGATTTTCTACTAAGGTTAGTGGTAGTTGATGTGTTGTCTTACTTGAACTTCATTGGTTTTTTCACTTTTTCTATATGTGACAACTGCATGCGTCATATTACATGGTCCACTCTGTTTTGGTTTAAGAATGACAACATGAGTAAGATTAGATGCTCTAAAAATAACCATCTAACCGTTGTGTATTTCATAGATAGACAATTTAAACATTGATCAACTTACGCATTAATTCTTTCCCATTTTGGATTCAATATGCCATAAAGTAAATCAAATTTATCTGCCGGAAAACTATCAATATCATTTAGTTCAATACTGAAAACCGTTCTAAACGTGCAGATAAAAACAAACTTTTAGAGACAAACATGTCATTAGAGTAGAATATGCCTGTTGCTGAAGTTGCAAACATTGATTTCAGTCAACAAACACTAGTGAGCAATGCGAATGAATCAGTGTATTATTTCTGAAAGTCTTCAGATCTACCAAGCTGTATGCTTTTATGAGCGAACAAGAAAGTCAGTGCATACTCCTTGGCTTCCTGAATATATCATTGTGCTACTCCCGTACATGTTCTCCTAAACAGAGGTACAGAATCTACTCATAAAAATCAAAAACTTCCCCACGCATAAAAATTTCTAAAACATTTTCCACTATTGTCAAAATATTTTTTTTCCAGTTATTTTTCAGTTTTTTTTATATTTCAAAAAACTTTAGCAAAAATTCTATTTTGCTAAAGTTTTTTTGAAAATTTTCCCTCGATGGATGTCGCAGTAAAGGGGTATATTCTGCACCTCTAACATAATAGCCCAGGAGGGTGTTTCATAAAAATTCTTAAGTGCTAGTGTATAAAATCAACACGTAAGTATACAAAACGAAGACTTAAGTCTAGGCTTAGTTAAGTCGAGCACTTAAGAATTTTTATGAAACACCCTCCAGCATTACACATCTTCGTGCCTTTTCTTAATACGGAAATTACAATGAGACTGAAAAAAAGAATTTTCTGTTTACATACGCTTGTCCTGCATTGAATAAACTGTATTTTATTGTTAAATCATTATTTTGTACAACATAACGATTTAATGTATGTTTTGTAACAAATAGATAGGATTCTTCTTCATCTGATAATTGACAGGTACATAACGTGACCGTCACAATTAAGAGAAGAAGAGTTTTAAACAACATTGTTCTTTTCTAAAAAAGTTCAGTTTAAAGAGTAGAAAATTTTAATCGGAGCGTTTGAGCGATGTAAACAAGCTAATGAATAATATTAAGTAGTAGAAGCAGGATCGGCTCCTGTTTTTTCAAAACCGAACCAAAAAACTTCAAAATCGAATCGGACTGGACCGATTCGTTTATTGAGAATCTGAAGCCGAATAGAACTGGAACTGAAAATGTTTTTCAAAGCGGAAGGAGATATAAAAATCTTAGAGATGGACAGGGATTTCCTTCCAGTTCGGTCGGTCTCATCCTGGCCTCCGATTGCAATCTTTTGAAAAAAGAGGAATGAAAGAGGATTCGTGATTTTTTTCAAAGAGGATTTGAAGTAAAAACAGAGGAATGAATTTTTCAGCCCGAAAAGCGCCGTAACAAGTCATTTTGGGTCAAAATCCAACTTATCAAACATCACGTGTCTGTATGAAATTCTCGTTCTGCTGAAAAATTGAAGTTTTTCGCCAAAAATCATATGAATCAAGTCTGAAATAATAAGTCAGAAAGAAACAATACTAAAATACAGTTGTTCCTAAACAAAACAGGATATATACACCTTTGAATCCGCGACGAAGGCTTTCTGGAAAGTCTATTAACCAAAATATCCTTTTAGATTTTTTCGATCTTATAACCACGTTTACCGGACAACCTTAATCATATCCTGAGGTTTTGAGCTTGTTCTGATGTTTTTTGAGTGAATAGTGAATTTTTTAATATTAGGTGAGAACAGCCTGAAAACCCTAATTTTCGTAAAATTCGCTCTTCCCTAGATCTTTAAAACTTTTCGAAAAACAAAGATTTCCACGAAACTCAGTACGGTCGGTTACCCATAGTCCATCATAAGCTCTAATGCTACCAACAGTCACCGGGTGCCAGTCCGTGGACTCATAGGAAATCCAATACAACGCCCTAACCACGGAAAATCAAGGCCTCACTTTACTCTCATTTTGGAGAACACCCCGAGGTATCAGTCCATGAAAAAAATCAATACGATCCTATTGGAAAATCTTTACAGATAGCCTAGAATAAGTTCACTTTATAGCATAGAGAATCTCCACAAAAGTTATCTCTATATAATGTGTTCCTTCATGGTAATTTCTATTTGTTTTTTCCAGATTTCGATGCTATTCTTTAATATTCTTAGAAAAAAGAGGAAAACCGACTTCAAAAGAGGGCTACACAAAAAGAGGAAATAGATGAAAGAGGATGAATCGGAGGCCAGGTCCCATCTGTGATAAGTACACATAGTCTTCCGATAATCTGTGGTTCGGTATGACAGAAGCTTAAAATGTGAACTCTTTTATCAGCAGTTTATTTTAAAATCTCCAAAAGATGTATGCATAAAACCAGGGAAAAAATTGTTTTTACCCAAATGTATTTGTTTATATTAGAGCCGTATCAAACAAGGAATATCTATCTTTGGTACTTCTACAGACCGATCACACCCCTGCAGAACGGGAAAAAAAAACTATTGGTGCAAAAGTATATTATTATGAACGCGAATAATAGATGACTCTAGTAATAAGAGCTATAATAGATAAGACTGACAGATCCAATTAAGAAGGATCAGTCAGGATTATGAAATAAAGCGAGACATAATTTGTACACTACTTAAATTGAATTATTATTTGAGGATCTAAAGAAATGATATAAATAGTAGTGATATAATGAAGGTAGAGCACAGTACACTCTTTAATTCGTTAAAATGTCTATTTTTCCATTACCGCTTGTTGATAAGATGACATTACGTGAATGGAACCATATTACAGATACGTTAGAAGATTGTATATCGTTTTGCCAAACACTTGGATTAATACCGTATAGTCCAAGTGCGCCATGTCCGAACGGTCATCATAAATGGTATATGGGCAAATCGTCAAGAGCCCACGACAGTAAGGGAACGTTTCAAAATGTATTTCGGTGGGTCGGTCGCTAAAGAGCTGTGTTTGATTAGCACCATCTGAGACTCGAACTTGTACAGATAATTTAAAAATGGTAATTCCATTAAAAGATACATGAAACTTGGATAACTTAAAAGTTTATCTTTCATGGTTCGAAAAGCTATTTACTTCAACAGGTCTTGCATGATGCTCTTCTCGGTCCTATCCTCAATAACCTAGAACTATGTTTCGTCCGAGGCTATTCAAACGGTGCTTTCATGATCTAAAGGATTTTGTTGAGTCTCACTCAACGTACACCCGGCAAATGTTTTAGGCTAGCCCAAAATGAACATAAACTAGACAGCATCGAGGCACGTCGAAGGTTTCTCTCCAGTTTTTATGCTTAATTATATCTAGAAATTTTGAGAAACACATATAGACAAATTAGTGGCGAGAGAATATATAATATACTCTCGCCAGTTTCTTTTGAGTTGTGCGCTCTATTCATTTATAGACGAAGGAAAAAAAATAACACATTTGACAAACAGCTTGTTTAAAAAAGAACGGAATGTTTGGCTATCTAGACAATCGATGTCATTGTTCTACTTTTCGTTCTCGTCTGGATAACCAGATCTTTTCATTTTCAAACTTTCGCGCATAAACATTAGAATCTAAGCACTTCTACCAATGTGTTTCCAAACGGTAATTCCAGTTAAACGTTGGAAAACTAGCATTTTAAGTTCTTGTGTTTTAGGGACAAACGTTATGTCATTCATCTTTACGTATCATGGCATCGGCGACAGATCCCTATTTTGGTAACAAAACACCAACTGTTCACCGTTGTCTTTTACTTGTTATATATTTGTTTTGTCTGCTTTAGGGGAAAAGGTTAATCGTTTCATGGCACATTTGAAAGATCTTACGGTTACGTATATTATGAACACAACAGCAGAAAACTTACCGTATGTTTTGATATGGTAAGTCCATTCATCTTTGAACGAGAATAAGTCTAGTTATGCGTAGTATTTTTAGTTTTTCAGAGTCGAATGGTGCTGCACAAGTGATTGATGCCTTGTCCACTTGTGGCTCATGCTGGATGGCAGTTGAGGTGGTTCATCCAAGCCATGTGCGATAACAATTTGTTTTGACGTTTATTTTGTATTTTTTCTTCGATTCATGTCTTAAGCGTGTTGCATCTCCTTATTTCTTTTTGTAATAAATTATATACGGGTGAATTGCATAGACATTATACTATTTCAAGGAAAAGTCGTTCAAAATTTGAACTGAAACAATTATAAGTTCAGACCATCTAATCAATCTTGCGGTCATATATGCTTCCACATACTATTATAGTTAAGTGTGCAGTATCAAACGTTATTAAGAAAATACTGCTTTGAGATTATTAGTATTAAAAATCAGTCTGAAGTCGTGAAATTAGTATTGTCATATGCCATTCGGGTAGAACGCCACATGTCGCATCCAGTGGTATTTGTGGTGGGTACGGCAACAGATGTGAAAGCGTTTTCATATATGCCAATCGATAGAGCTCGACGAGCTGATCAAGAATATGTGCGAAGGATATAAATTTAGATATAAATTTAGACCTCCTTTGTCTACATCTCTTAGCCAGATGTTCGATATGATATTTTCAGGCCAGATTACAAGATAAATATATGCCTAATAGCTTGATGTTATTATCTAAAGTGAGCAGGTTAACATTAGGTGGCCAACTGAATTTAGTGCCGACTTTGTTGTAGAAAAGGACGTGAAACTTAGCAATGTTTAGATTCACAAGATGTTTATCACTTCACTCAGACATGATCTCAGAATCGTTCTGTGCATCAGAGTTGTAACGGGTCCGGCGAAACCGGTCCGATTCGGCCGGACCGGATTGGACTGGTTGAAATGGTTGGACCGAAAAATAAAAAATAAAAATTATAGATTATAGATAGATAAAATAAAAATAAAATTATAGATTCGCCTTTATTTTTAATTCTTCTCCTCACCTATAATAGCTAGAACAAATGTGAAAAAAGATTTGAACAACTGAAAGAGTTTATAATCAGGTGAGATGCATATGAAAATTCTATTAAAATTCCTACAAACCAGGTCTGTAGAAAACCAAGATTTTTGAAAATCTCGAAAAATCAAGTTCCGCGATTCTAACGAAAACTTTTCATAAATAGCCCATTTCGTGTGGACATTTCTGAACAAAACTAGACGTCGCCGAACTCTCTATTTTGCTGATTGTAACGTGGAGGGGCCTAGATTTTTCTAAAATCTTGGTTTTCTATAGACCTGGATTGCAGGAATTTCAATGGAGTTTTCATATGCATCTCATCTGATTATAAACTCTTTCAGTTGTTCTAGCTGCTATGAATGAGGAGAAAAATTAAAAATAAAGGTGAACACATAATTTTG